GAATTCGAACCGACGCACAGACGCCGCCCATGCTTTGTACACGCACGCTGTACCAGCTGTGCTACGAGTCAACACCGATGGCAATGATCTTTTCACATTCGAATTACCCATTCAACTTACAGAGGCATATGGCATCCACCAGTCAGTATGTAAGCTGACTGTCCCGACAGGTTTTCCTCAGAATTCACCGGAGTTCACCGAATGAGCTTCTAACAATAACCCAATAGTGGCAGAAACAGGATATCTCGCATAGTTTAGAAGCGAGAGGAAGGGATCAGCGAATAAACGCGTTTCGCGCCAGCCCACACCGACTAATTTGTTTTTCTTCAAGTACAATGTACTCAAAATTCAGATCCGTTGGGTAGTGGGACGCAGATCCAAAGAGGTGAACTGTGGCGTGATAGAACACTCGTGCGAGACTCTAGAAGCCTGTTACATAAAGCCTTGGGGCTTCTGTACGGTGGTTTGCTCGTTGGTGTATTGGCTATCGGTTTGACGTTCGATATCGACCAGTAGCCTCAAGCACCCATGTGATGGATGAAACTTGGAAGGGGCAGCAACCTATGGCTAGGGACTGTTCAGATTGGGCGGGCGGCAGCCACCCAATAATGCAAGTTTTCTCCCACCGTTGGGAGGAAGTCCCAGGTACAACGCTTCTACGTCAATCCAACAGGTTCAGCAACAACAAGGGACGTGATGCTGGCCCAGGTAACCCCAGGGAGAACCTACACCTTGTCTGTCGCCACAAGTCATAAGAATGTCTAATGAAACTTCGACTGTGCACACCTAGAGGGTTATCACGCAACGGGACTACGGCTGACAACGATAGCATCACAAGCATTACGAGCCGATCTGAAAGCTTGGTGTCCAGTTCAGGGTTGCACTGACTGCAAAAATGATCCGAGCAGATCACGAAGGGAATTCAATCGTTTGTGGTCACATGGAAGAGACAATACGATATGAAACGATGGGGCGCACAATCGATTTTATGTAAAAGCAGCGACCCGTACAGAAATCGAGAATTTACGCCACATTGATGCGATTCGAACACGCGACCGATTCGGTTTACACCGTAACCCTCTCACATACGACCTCAGCGCTGAATCCCGTTCAGGAGGATCAGAATGGAAAGGTTGCTGCTATGGTGAAATTTTTTCCAGTACCTAACCGGTCTAACTTACAAGCAATATCTTTCTTCTAGGATCATTTACAGTCGAAAAGCGGGACTATTAGCTGAGTAGTCTGTAATAACACCAATACGCCAACACTGGTTAGCATAAATGTTCACTCAAGACTGCTAGAAAACCTATTTCGCAACAGAAGAAGTAAAAGTTCAGCTACAGTTCACGAAGCTTAACCCACTGCAAAAGCCCAAATTGTATAAGTGTATGGCAACAATGAGGAGGAGGAATGGCAGTTCCCACCTGCATCGTAATTCAATACTTACCGAGTTACCCAAAAGATAATGTTTGTCTCCAAGGAATTTCGACCACATGGTCAGGGTGGCTGGCAAATTTTCCAGGTAATCATGTTTCAGTTGTTCCTGTATGGTGATTAGAAAAAAAATCAAAAACGCTTACAAACTGCGGATTGTAAGCGATTCTTGAGAGGCCTTGACGGAGATCACAAGCAGCCCCTTCAACCATTGAAACACGAGCTCGCTCTTCTGGTGTTGATCCAACTGCGCGAGAACCAGTTATAGAAGCATTCAGCTTGAAGATACTTACTCATGCCATGCTTATCTGCAATGTAGCGCAATATGGCTAAAGATTGGGAAAGCTTGACATTTCCATCAATATAATACGGCAACTGAAACGAAAGTGATCAATGACGGGAGGTGAACTCACATTTGGTAGATCAAGGCCCAGATTGTACTTATCACTTTGCCATTTCTCTCTGTCCTGTCGGTCGTACAGGCGCTCCTCATACTTGTCACCCACGAACTCCAGCAGCAGGCGAATGGGCTGAGCGAGCTGATGACCAATGGAGAAATGAGTGCACAATGACAAATTGCTGCTTCTGGTTTTAAACGAGAATAAATGAGTATGTGATACTCGGGATAGATTATTAGTAATGGATTCGTCAAAGCAATCCCCGTAAAAACAGTGGCTCGAGAGTATATGATCACCTAGTTAATAAGGTGTACGGATTTAATACTCAGGGTACTTTATAAACCCATACTAGTTCACCTATCTTACCTCGAAAATTCTCCGGCTCTCATTACTTTCTTTTCAAACTACTGGATATTGTTTAGCATTGACTGCTATCGGAACTACGTAAGGCATGAAATTTCTCCCGTTTCTTCCATAAATAAATCATGGCTTCGGCAGAAATTTTGTCATTTGAAATCAAACGCAATCAAACCAAACAAATGAAACCACTTACACCTCTCAGCTTCCAGTACCCCAGTACAGGCGACATGGCGAAGCAGACCAACAGGACACGCGCGAACAAATGGCGCTAGACGAACTGTCGCGTTTATTTTCTACCAAGGCCAACGATCACGATTGCCATTGGTCAAGCTGAAAGACCTTGAGGCTAGACAGCTGAATGGCTGGACACAGGCGCGCATCGAGACAGGCCGTTAGCTGGACATGAGTGGTCTGAACAGCCATAACGTTCAGTCCAGGTTTGCATGTTTAGGCTTCGAGACACTCGGAACCGGTCGCCAACCTACCTGTTCATCCCTAGTTGTTGGACGCCCGGGGCTCCACTGCTATGTACCCAAGAACCATACAACTGTTTTTCATATCTCAGTCAGGTAATCATTATTGCTCTTACGAGCATGATCCGGTACTATNTTGGTGACATTATAACAGTGCAAATCTGTCCAGGCTACTGACAGTATTCGAATCATTGCATATCATTACATCCAAGCATAAAATTCACTCCAGAAAGTAAAAGACCCAGATGTGTAGCGGGAACAGCAATTGAAGGTGATATTTCCTTTTTTCAGTAATCATCAATCTGTTTATAACTTTGTATGATTCTTTGAGCCCTCCGCTTTTACATTGTGAAGTAGATAATGTGTAATAACCGCATGCGGGGTTATGGTACCCACGAGTCGTCTGTCTGAAATTGGATGACTTTGAGTTAGTTAATAACATCAATTCACCTCACACCGGAAACAAGCGGAAGACGACATAGAGACGGTACGTTTGTGGCACGGGTTCGCAGCAAAGAACAACCGGAAGTCAAGGCGGAATAATCGAAAGGCGTCAAGGTCAGAAGGGGTGTTACGTCACGGGAGATTTTTGCTCATCGATTTCTCTCGTCCGTTTTTAATTGGGTGATGACATTTGGAAGCAGAACGATGGAGGGAGATGCAGTGTGATGAGTACTCGTTTTAAAAAGGAGATAAGTGAATTAACCGCGACGGATTTGTTTTACAAAACCACTGGTGGATACATGTTTTTATGACTTATTATCGCCTGAGTATTTAAGTGCCTCTGAATATCCGAGATTACTAATTTACAGCTACATTTGGTTGTGCGAAGCAGCAAAACATGACCACTGATGACCTTAGTCACTGTTGGTAGAAACTGTGAGATGCCGACAATAGTCGAATACTGGTTTGATAAATTGGCAGCTGTTCGACGTGATAGCCTGTCGATAAGAATTCTTACGGACCTTTTAGTGTTTTGTTGTCTGAAATAGACAAAAACATTCGTAGCTGTTGTAGACGTTCATTGATGTACTACAAGGTACCGAAAACGTGCCTAAGAGAGGACTAACCAATGCACGCAAATAAATGCAGTAGCAAAGGGAAAATTTGTCAGGTGTTGCCGGGGGTTGGAACAGGACCCAGCTTATTTATACACCTGAGCGGAAAAACACACAGTTAAATAAAACAGAAAGAATCATCACAGTGCGGGTCAAAGTTGATTGTAAAGAAAGCAGGAACAGAAAATGTCCTCGCGAAGTGCTTCCTTTCTTCGTACAAAAATCGTCACTACAGCTCTATTGTGAGCCTCGTCGATGTTATCCCAAAGAACTGAAGTATCAAATGAATAGAGATGTTTCATGTATAAGTTAAGCCAAAGAAAATCATCATGTAAATCGGTAAAAGAAGATTTCTATTTAACTCACGGTTTCTCATCAGTAGTAATGTGAAATTAAAAAAATATCTGAATTTCGACTGACTTGCCCTCAGACTGATTCTCCACGTGTAGTTCTCAGCTCATCAATATTCCCTTCTTGAGATCGGTCTGGGGTTCTGGTGGTCTGGACACTACCGGTAAGCTCTAACAAGAGCGAGTCCCGAGTCTAAAGCTTCTGGAGTGCATGATTAACGGAATGAACTGAGGATTACAGAGGAAGTCCGGATAATGTTCATCCCAAATCATGAGATAATAAATAGAAATCGGGGAATTTGAGGTTGTATTGCCTAAAGCATTAGTACACACAATAGAAATCCTTTCACATAAGACTGATAACAACCCTAGGCTTTTAAACACATTTAAATCTGCCAAATCATCCTCCCAGCCATCCTTTGACCACCAGCAACCGTCCAGGCCTATCCTCTGACAATACTGCATAATCTATCCGTGATCCATCCCCCTCTGTACTGGAAAGTAACAGAAGTGACTCCTATCCACAATGAGATAATCAAAAGACCGCTACCAACTACGTTTCGGCTAGAATGGCCAAATATGTGGTCATTCAGGGCCACCAAATCAACAAGGTAACTCTCAGTGAAATTCGATTTTAAAGGATCTACTTGACTTCATAGATAACGTAACTCTAAGGCTCAATCGTGGGGAAAGGGTGGAGGTCTGAACCTAGAATTTCCGAAATGTTTCGATTTGTTGAATTCGAGGCTGTTGCTCGAAAAAACAAAACAGATGTCTTTTTAGCGTATCAGGGGGGGTGGGTGGTTGACAGGATATCTCAGCACTTCTTGAGTCGAACTAGCTGTGCGAGAATTAAAAAGGATAGATCCACTCAGAGAACTATTCGGTATGCATTGATGTCTCGCAAAAGTTATGGCTGATACACTGAAGACCTAACGGAAAAAAGCAGAAAACTTATTTTTCTCTTCGCCGATGATGTGAAGAGCGTTGATCAGCAATCCTCATTCGGAAACCATGGTGAATTAAATGGCGTTCTAAAGGCGACAAACGAGTGTATCTTACCTGTTAATTCTGGCAAGTTTAGACAGCTGCTTCAGGGAGAGTCTTAATCCGGGGTTGTGATTAAGAATGACCCGAATCCCGGACAAGTCGATGGAAGGAAGAAAGTATGTACCAAACTATGTACCAAAAAAATCATACCACAATGATGTTTAAAAAAAAAAACAGAAAAAACTCCATAATTCGCTTGTGGACACCATACTGCCAGGTTGCACAGGTTAGCGCTGATCAATTTTCTCGAAGAATTCACAATCCAAGCTTTTGACTAGCCAAAGCCAAAAATCTGCAAGGCAGTGGGCACGGTGTGACAACCGCATTCCATTTGGGACCGATTTTCAGTTCATTGAATCATATAGCCTGTGGATAGGGTCAAACGCCCGAGGTGCTCAGTTTCAGTTTTCACTTTTTACAACCATTAACCAAATGTTTTCGTGCCCCTGTTTTGGATTGTCTTTTGTCCACTCATGTGGATGAAAGAGCAGAATCGAGATTGGAATGTTGAGAGGGAATTCAGAGGGAAGACGATTAGTAAAGACTGCAGTTGCAACAACACTGAGTAAATGCACGACATCCAGCCATATCACTCAGTGTCTCTATCCTCCGGTTACCGGTTACCCTTAGGTGAACTGCAAGTGGTTCACCGATCCAGTTAAAACTCCGGTTATTGGTTTTCCGGCCCCTTGCTCTGGTGGGAAAACACCTCCGCCAGGGGAAGGCAGTGAGTTGGGCTTTCACAGAAGAGGTCATTTGAGGCCCTTGGTAATATAGGAGCCGTTGACGAGGTGCACGGTCGGGGTTACAACCCACAACAGGAAACATCCATCTCTGACCATACTGAGTCTTTCGAATAAACTCAGGGACTAAGATGTCCTAATGCAGGCAACCGGGAAATACAAACAGCTTTTAAGGCTGGAAGGACACTATTTTCACTCAGGAGGGCAGTGGTATCTAGGTTCCCGGTAGTCATATACAGCACTATGTGAAACACTATACTTCCGTAGTCTCAATGCCTGAGAGCACTGAGGCTATTCTTCCGTCTAATCGGAAATAGACAGAGGACCTGATTGAGACCTTCAATGTTCTAAAAGGCTTATAACAACCAATTCGGTAACTCCTCTCGCTCCCTTCTAGCTACCTATCCCATTTTCCCTTGATCAGTGTGCTACGTGGTATGAGTTCCCTTCTGCTCTCTGAGGATAAGGACACCGTTTATTTTGAGAAAACGGACAGGGCATATTCCTCCTCCATACAGTCAGTTTCTGTGAGAGAGAGAGAAAAAAACTATTTCAAGTAATTTACCTGCATCTTGGAGTTTCTCGAGTTGATACTTGATAGTTATTGCAAATTCAATCACTTTGGAGTTGTATCACAACATGGTATCACATTAGGTGAATAGTTCAAGTCACACGCCTGAGATCGAGTCGTTCGAGTTGCCAATACGCAATCCGTCTAAACTGTTCCTGTTTACGAGCAGCTACAGTATGCATTCATTGAAACATGTAAAAACCTGTGATGATTCAAGATAGATTCCAAGATAGCGCCAGTCAAGAGGCTACGTGCTCCATTTTCTGGACAGCAGACCGCAATCCAACGGTATCGACCCATCAAAAGCCATCCAGTTCAAACATAAGTTTTGCGAATCGGAAAATATGAACGGCGGTTGACTGATGTCCGTTTATCCAATGATATTTCTATTTATGTATGATGTAATCCCATCGATTTCTTTCAATAACTGAACCGCTACTTCTGTGATCTTCTTTTTGCATCTCGGTGAAGGGATATTTAGGCACACGCTTCCAGAGCAATTCCGTGTTTCGTCTACGATTGCAGTTTTTGATTCACGCGCATTCCGATTGCTACATAATCGCAGCTCCAAATCTTCTTGTTTTGGTTTTCGTATGTGGTGGTAATCAATTATTGTATTGTACTGTATTTATTGAAGCTTTGGCGAGTTAAATACAAGCTTTCGGTCAAAATAGACCATCGTTTTAATTCTGGTTAAAAAGAGGTGAAAAAGTGGGACGTAACATGTAAAAAAGTATGAGTTATTTACTAAGTACATCAGAAAGCTGAGGACGAACACTTCCTGACGGTCAGTATCCGGCTGAGATAGGGTACCAAAGAGTTTCTTTATACAGATATGCGAGACAGGATAGGGTTTTACTTAGCACGGGTGGAGGAGTAGAATTTGTATGCACACAGGTCAATGTGTAAAGGATGGTGCAATCATATAGGATATGTACAGAGGACAGAATACTAAGTGAACAGGAGAATATCTCTAGCACATTA